TAGAATTTACAAGAAAAGCCCTAAATGTTTATTGTCAGCTCAAAGCTACAGAAATAAGAAGAGATTAATTTAGGGCTTTTCTTGTAAATTCTATAACTTTGCAAAGAAAGGTCGTGTAGAGCTGGAAGACGTCTCATTTTAATCAGAAATTTGCGGGCTACAATTATATCTCATTAAAAGAAGGGTTTAGTTATCTAACAAATCGTCTGAATGAATAATCATTTATCGGTCAATAAATAAACAAAAGGCTCTTGATTATTTAAATATATCTCATATAAATCAATATTAAATTGAACTGCATTACCTTGTATCTTAACGTTTTCTCTACAATAAAATGTACCGTCGCCTTTCAAATCGCTTTTCATTTATATAGATAAGTGAGTCTTTATTTTCACATATTCTCTATTTTCAAAAGACAAGACTTGTCGTTTAGACGATACACGTTCATAAACATAAAGGAAAAAAATGAATACACATCATTTAATTTTTTGAAAAATCGATATGAATACGAAGTCAGATCGGATTTGTTATATTCTAAATAAGTACTTTTTTCTTCGTACTAACTTTATTTATTCCACACATTTCGATTGATAGTTCAATTGTCCTCAACGGATACAAACATTAATTAAATTAATTAAAATTACATAAATAAAACATTTGAACAGACAACTTTAACATAGGGATATTTTTCCCTTTTTTATTTTTATATAATATATACAGTCGATAATAAAAAACTAGTTTGACAAGTATCTGTAACATACTACATTTATATTCTATTTTTCTTTTCTTTTTCACTTTTCCCCTGGACGTTATGATCTGAAGCCACGTTAATAATTTGAAATAGTGTATATTCAGTATTACAGTCATGACAACACGAAAAGAATGATAGTCGATTCTTCGTACGTTTATCATCTGTTTTCTGTTCAACGCGTCTCATAATAAGATAAATCTAAAGAATAAACATCGAAAGATTTTCTGTTAATTTGGCTGATGATTCTGTTCACCAGCTGATATGAATTAACAGAAAGTTTATTCTTTCGATGTCGCACAACACTTTTAACAGGAAATGTTTGGGGTTCAAATGCAGTTCGGACCTGCGAGGCTGTACTGAAGAGATATAACACCTTTTTAATTCAGGAAGAAGTTAAGCTTAGAGCACTATAGCTAACTCTTTTGTAAATTTTCTTTTCAAAAGTGAACATCTCTGGTGTAACCCATTTCCCATTTCCTCATTACTCACTAGGTATTTGGCACTCTATCGGTTTTATCGTATTATGAGACGCGTTGAATAGAAAACAGACGATAAACGTACGAAATCATGAAGAATCAACTACTATTCTTTTCTTTTTGTCATGACTGTAATGCTGAATGCACACTACTTCAAATTATTAACGTGGCTTTCTAAAAACGACGGAAAACGAGGCAAACAAAAAAGTCAGTTTTCTGTAACCCTGCATCTGCTCTGATTCTCATTAAAAGGCAGTGCATTTGTAAAAGAAAATTTCATCTTGGCAATTAAATGAAACATTATTAGTCCTTCTTCCTTTTTAAACGAAAAAAAATGACGACTATTCCGAACTCTGCTCGTACACTTTGGTCTCCTTTAAAAAGACCGTCTTCAAGTGCTCAATTTCTTCGGTGATATTGCAAAGACGACCGCACACGACGTACGTAATCAGCACCTGAGTACTCGTATATTTCTCCTTCTATTCACCATTGCACTTGTTTTACTGGTTCTCTATACGTCAGTGGAATCAATAACTGTAACAGAAACCGTTCAGCAGCCAACTTTTTCTACAATTGAACTGCTGAATGAACAATATGCACAGACACTTGTCTGTCCGTGTGAGACAATCGCAATTCTCTACGATAACTTCGTAGTTATCGTAGCATTTGACTCCAAATATCATCAGGTCTGTCAGTCAGATTTCGTTAGTGAACGGTGGACTGAATATCTTCTACGTTCACCAAAGGTGTTTCCTATAGGCGGTCTAGCATTTCAGGTTTTGGCAACATTATGTTTACTATCGCAACAAATTGTAAAGGATGAATTATTAGTATTCTATTCTACTGCATTCATAATTGATACATTTGTATCCAAATTGACTTTTATTCAGCAAGTCGTAGCGTTAACTAATACGTTTAAAGATAGAACTAAGAATTCATTTACTACCACATTAAGTTCAGTAAAAGATCTATTACAATCCAACTCATTGTTGACTGTACTACAGACAAACTATGCTTTAGTACATGCAAACTATGATAGTGATTTGCTTGTTATACTCGACCGTCTCTATAACGGTGTATGTTCGTGTGCACAATCATCTTTATACGTAGAAGAAGCTGGTATCTATCAGAATGTGAATGGCAGATTACAAATTATCTTTAATATTAGTAATTTTTATACTGGTTGTTATGTTGTTGAAGCTCTTCTTCAATCGAGTCTTGCCTATTTCTATAATCAAACGTCTGTGACTGAACTACAATCATACCTCGATTTCGGTAATGATAGTGAGAAATTCAATGTAACAGCTCTTGACCTATCTATACCGAGTAATTACGCACCGACAACAACAATCGGTGATCTACTCAATATGTTAATGATTGAAGATTGGAATTTGCAGACATCCTTTGAGTCTCGTTTCAATGTATGTCAACCACTATCGTGTACCTACATGTACAGTGGACATAATGGCCGTATCTATGTCGTTACGACCACATTTGGACTGATTGGTGGAATTGCAACAGTACTTTTTTTCTGGTACCATTGATTGTTGGAATTGTTCGAAAAAATAAGAATATCTCTACCAGACCGGACCCGGTAGTTTCAAACTTGTATCGATACCACGTTAACTGCTATACCGCTCTGTAAGTAATGTCGCATACTAGTGATAAATCAGCGAAGTACCGGTAGAAATCGATCAAAAATGCTCACTTTGCAAAAACAGATTGTAGACAGATTTTCCATAAACGTAAGAGCATATTTTAGGGATGGAAATCTCATTTTGATCGCTCACTTTTGGCATAAAATTTCAATTTTTCGGAAATCTTTGGAAAAAACTAAATCTAGGTAGGGCAGAAATTTTCGACCAGCATGGCTGGTACACAGTTACTATCGGACCGGACTAGTAACAGTATGCCAGTCCACTGACAACTCTGATGTATTCAAATAATATCGTTTTCCTCACCCTGCATGTTCGGCTCTGCTTCGCGATTTTTGTTTATCTCATTTAAGACATTTCATAAATGAACGATAGTTATCCGTTAAACACTTCTGTTTTACCGGATGACGTTTTGTTATATTCAGGGAATCTATTCTTCAAACTGGTTGAACGTATGAAAAGAATTAATTTAACTTGAAGTCGACGTCGAACCCTCGCTAATATCATCAAAACTTTCTTCAAACATCTCGTTCGAAGGGGCGAAGAAAACGTTGCTAGAATCTTTGCTCAAGATGTAGAATATGAAAAATCAATTAGTACTGTTGTTTATAAACCCTTTCGGTTTTAGAAACAACATCGAAAACGTCCTCATCTTCAACCGAAAAATTTGATTTGAACTTGGTCAGTTTCTTGAGGACATTAAGTTACATAGGTCTTGTAATTATTTTAGCTGTACAGCACGTTTTCAATGCGGTATAACCTTTATTAAATACATGAGAAGGTAACAAAGGTCCCAACGAGTCACTTGTGTTTTGCGCTCGGTCCTACTTGGTTCAATATCAACTCGATTCGACTCGAGTGAATACAGTTTAAGTTTTTTATGAACAAGATTCTTCTGTTCACAAAATTCAATCTTCTAACTTACTTTTATGTTTCATTACAATGCATGAAGCAAATCCAGCGATAATTTCAACTTTATCCCATCTGTCTTTTGTACTGGACAGCCAAACATTTCCCAGCATATGACAGACACTCTTTTGTACTGGACAGCCAAACATTTCCCAGCATATGACAGACACTCTTTTGCTTGTATTATTTAGAATTTTATGTTGGTCTTTTTTATTTATTAACAATCATTTAATTTCAGAAGGATCAAATGTGGTAGATTCAGTGGACGAAGAAGATGACAGCGTTGACAAATTCTTAGAAGCCATCTTATCTAAGAATATAAACAACTCGTTCCAGTCTTCGAGCAGTAACGGAAAAATGCTTCTAATATGAAAGGTAGAATGGCTATTCAATCACGTGTTTGTCGAGGTCACTAACAACAAGCTTAGTCGATCTGCATTTTTGTGAGCAAGGAAGAGATAGTACGTACATTTTGCCGAAGTTTAAATTTTCCTTTCCGAACTCATCTCATTTTCCACTCAACTCGGTGCGACGAATATTCGACTCGTTTCGGCCTTTGGACGGTATAATTTTAATACAACGGCATACGATTAAGCAGGGATCTGAGTAGGTGCCGGACATTGGGGGGGTGTAACGAAAGTTTTTTGTCCGACATAGTGTAAACTTTATTTTAAATTTCACGTTCGAGTGGTGTAAACTCTGTTTTTTGCATAGTTACTCAGTAATTATCTTGTTACTGTTCTTTTAAATTTTGGGGGTTACGCACCCCTCCATACCCCCCCCAAAATTCAGGTCTCTGCGATTAAGACAACGTCGATTAAGATAACGTTAGTTAAGAGCAATGGCGTATCGTGTTTTCTAAAAACAAATTTTAGATCGTATTAGATTATTTCTTTTCACATTTTTCCAAAATCTGGGACGAATGTTAGTTTTTTCAAACAGAGTAAGATGGAAGAACATTGTTCTTATGATGTCAGCCACAGAGACCAAATCTATTTATAGGAGTATTCATTTTTTAAAGTGCATTTGTCTTTTGGCACACAACACAATCCTAGTTTTATCTATGTTGAATATTTATTTTAAATCTAGTTGTTCTTAAAATATAGATACCCAAGCATGAAATTTCATATAAATTAGCAAGTTACTCTTGTTGGTGGAGCGCCTGCTTTTCCAGCAAGAGCAGCTAGCTGAAAGAGTAAAAATTAACGGGGGTAGCTAGCTGCAGTGGGTAAGAAATTTTGCCAGTATAGAACAGTCTGCAACTAGGTGTAGCTGGGGATTTATTGGACGCTGCAACCACTTAAACTCTTCTCCATAATCTATTCACTACCCACTGCCCAACTAGCTGCAGCGTACCAAGAATCGCTAACTGCAACTAGTAATACTGGATCTATAAAGATATAAGATAAAACATCTAAGATATTATAACGCATTAATTTCTAACGCATTATATTCAAGTAGAAGGCTCAAACACGTTATAATACATTAGAATCTAATTATACGGCGGTAGACAAATCTAACTGAGTTGTAACGAGATAAAAAATTGAAACGCATTATAATGCTATAAATTTGTAGAGGTGTAATGCAATGGAAGCTTTTATCCAGTTACAACGCCATCAATCCCTAAAAAATAACTTTGCAACGCGTTATAACGCTGAGCTACGCCTATTGCGTTATAATGAGATAAAGTTATAGCGTTGTAATACCATAATTTAAAGAAAAGCATGTTTATAACATTATAATAGGGAAGAAAAGATTTCATGGGAATAGATGCTAACGCCGTGTTTTTATATTATAAAATCGAAGAAAAAGCAAAACAATTTGAAAAGTTTGTACGACTTAATTTAATTATATCTTTAGAAAAGTAAGAACAATAAGCGCTCTTCGTTAATGTAACACAAAAATAGATCTGAGTTTAATTTTTTTCACTGAGAATCATTTGTTGTTGTTGCTATTGTTCTTACTGTTGGCTTCTCCGCTAAAATTTTATTCAACTTCTCTGCTAGTATTTTGTCCAGCTTGTTGTTCTCCTCTTTTTTCTCATCCTCGTCTTTATCATGTTCATTTTCTTTAATTTTATCAATAATTGATTTCCAATAAACTGCAGCTATTGCACGTTCACGTTGCATGTTGTCATACTCTTGAAATTTATTTCCACCTAAAAACACAAAACAGCGTCAAGCCAAGAGGATGTGAGTGTTCTTTATTAGATTTCATACTATACGATTTGTCATTACCGTTGAAAATTGTTGTTTCCTCCGAGTGTTGCTGCATTCCAGGAGTGTTATTACCTTGGATAATTCCTACTTGACACCATCGCCGATGTTCTGAACGGTAAACAAAGAATTGTCGTTTATTTTGGAGAGCACTGTTATAAATGTCAAATCGTTTCTTTTGACGTAAAGCTTAACGTTGCTCTAGGTTCTAATGATGCTAAGGACGAAAATTTAACTCCATTTGGTTCTGTAATAAGTGTTAAGACATCAGCGAATTAAAACTTTCCTCAATGAGCTTTATTCTAGAAACTTTTGACTTTTAATCCAACAGGTAGTTGTTCATCGCCATTTACTTAAAAAGAAGAGGAAAATCTCCCTTTGCTTGAGGTTTCGTTAGCGTTCATTATCTTAATTCTTTCTTTTAAAAGCAGATGAACTTGAGAGAGCCACAATCAAACTAGATTAGGGAAAACTGGCTGGGCGTTAGTCACGCTGCTGGGTAATCTGCCGACATCGCAACTTACGAACTGAACAACTGAGATCTAGTTAAAAAACTAATTTTGTAGCCTCGTGCCTGTGAATGATATCAAGCCCTTGCTACTTCTTATGTTGACGTTCTAAAATCACTACGACCTGAGCCAGAGTGGCGGACTTGAACAATTTTGTTTCTTTCCTGCGTACCCGTCTTCGAGACTGAATTTACTAAAAATCCGTTCAAAAAACTCCCTAAATACCCAAATTAAGTTCACACTCGCAGTATGGATGGTTATAGAATGATAGATTTTAGTAAAAACTGCTTTGACATTTTAACCGAATGTCTTGTTCGCAGAGAAACTTTCACAAAAATACTCTTACTTTTAACATATGAAGTTGGACTGACGGTAAAACTAAATGCTATTCCTTTATTAGGACAATTTGTAAATGGTATTGCTGAGTTTTTCTCCTGATACTCATTAAATGTTCTTGAATTAACAAAATGTTCATTACGCTCAGCAGTACTGTATGGACTACCAGAATAATTTTCAAATCTAATTGCAATGTACTGTCCGCTATGGACTTTCAAACTATCTGTGAGGAAAATCGTTTGAATTGCACTGGATGTTCGATCGAATGCCACTTTTTCACGTTTATCTGTAACATTGAACTTAGTCGGATCATCTGTTATTGACAGCACATAGAGATTAATTTGTGGTTCACTGGACGTAGGTAATGTACAAAAATGAACCGTAACACTCTTAATATCGCCTGGTGCAAGTATTTTATCAGCAGCATTAAACACGATAAGATTATATGTATTTGCATCCAACATATTGTTTGTATCATCTGTCAATGTACCGTACACAGTGCCTAGAAAAATGCCAATCACAAAAGATTAAAATGTCTAATGCGAAGGATCTAGGCAATACACATATAAGGGTGACAACTTGTCTATCTTCCATCTTCTGTGTATAGCTTCTTACGGGAACCTTATCTGCTTCTTTAGCGGCTAGTAGGGCCCATACTAGGCCAGGACAAAAAAAGTTCTGCCAATCACCCTTCT